CAGAAACATGTAAGATGAAAAATAAGTATTTAACAATTCTATTAGTCTTCAAATTAATTTTGTATTGATGTTAGTTATAGCTTACTAGTAAACTTGATGTTTAATAATGTCTTAATTTTAGATGCTCTAACTTGAATATAAATATTAATATTCTTGCAAAACATATCAAATTTTAGGAAAACAAGTTAAATGTTTTTGTACTTCTCGAGTTTTTTAAACTCTGTAATTATTACCATGGTTTCACTTACTAGTTCGGCTGAACAGAGGAAATCTCATTAATCTACTCATGTTTGTCACTTGTGCTCCATGAGCTTTAGTAACTATTTTTTGGAAACTATAGTATTAAATTACAGAAAAATTTTCAAAGTTGTCTTGCTTATGCTACACATTTTTGAAGGGCTTCATCAATGAAATATTGTAATTATTTTATATATGGAATTATACAATATCTTAGAATTATAATATTTGAAAGTATATGTAATTATAACTAATCATTGATTTTTCTATTTATATGGACAAATAAAATAAGATATATTTATTGTATGTGTGTATCCATACTAATATATATATATATACTCGTTACTTAATATTTAAACATATTTCCACACCAATAGCTATTAGTAACACTAATTGCACTGAAACTGCATTATTTATGCTTCCTTAACATACAGTAAAACTATGTTTCTGTAGCTAAACGTACATGTACGTGCATGTGTACATAGCAGTGACTATTCCAGGATGCTATTTTTAGTTCTGCAGACATTGCAAAAAATGTTATTTTGGTACTTAAAGAAAAAAAAAGAATATATAAATTAAGCTATGGTGTACCTACATGATTTTGTATCATTATTAACCTTTTGGTACGTTAAGTGGATTAAAAAAAACAATACACACACACACACTTGAATACATTTAATTCTATATGTTTAAGGTGTGCTTATATGATTGAGATTATATATATTGTATATTAACTATTTTGTACTGTTAAAACTAGGAATATTTGTTCAGTTGAACTTTTAAATAAAGTTGTACTTAAATATTTGGGGAAAAAATATAAAGTACAGTATAATATATATAATAAAATATAAAGTACAGTATAATATATATAATAAAATATAAAGTACAGTATAATATATATATATAATAAAATATAAAATTTTCATTATCCAGTCTCCAAAATGGCTAATATACTAAACATATATGTTACAAAAAGAGTTAATATTTGTGTCTATGATGAAATTTTTAAAATTAAGACTTCATGAAAGTTTTTACATTTAATTGAGCAAAAGTTTACAATTAAAGAATGTTCTTTTTAACATGTGAGTAATAATGAACAATTATACTTAGATGATGATCCTAAATAGAGATTAACTTACAATGTTCTCCATGTCCTGAGATCTGTAGATAAATATGTATTTGTATGTAAACATTGTTAATTGTGACATTTTTATTAAGTGCAAAACATACACAAAAGTGTGTACTCCAATAGGCTTATTATTACAAAAATTACCAATCTTTGTGAACCATATGGTATTATATATTTTCTTATTACTTGTGTATTTTTGTCATTATTGTTAACTGGAAATATGGTCAAGGAATTTTCAACTGCTGTAAAAAGTTATCAAATGCGATGAGAACTTGCATACAATATTTAATAAAATATTAATACAGTTGTCTTGTGCAAAAGTAGTAATGAATATTGTTGTTAAGAGATTCAAGTAATAGGTAGAATAGATTAATGTAGGAATAAAAACATAAAATGAAGGACATAACCAGTTCTATAGTATCTTTACAAATAGTATAAATTAATTATCTGAGAATTGGTAAATGTATACTTAAACATTCTGTAGTTTATTATAAATAGAAGTTAATTCTAAGCTTAAAAACTCTGTGCTTATGTTAATTATGGTTTCAATTTACAATACATTGTTTTTGCCAGTATAATCAACAGGCGTATCATGTATGCTTATATTTAACTGAAATTATTGATTTTGGAAAAGACCCATTTCACTCAAGCCTAAATTTATGTTAGGTTATTCATTATCTACTGTGTTTAAAGTTTGAGCTATTTTATTAAGGATTCCATGTTTCTTCCCAGCCAATGCCGTAACAATGAGACAATTAAAACTCCTACAAGTCCTATGAATATAAAGAAATTGTTGGAACATTCAGAAAGACATTTAAAAGAAGAGAAACAAAGTGGCTAGAAGATGAACTTTGTTTTTATTTAAGGGTTCATTAAATAGGAACATTAATGTTGATGTATTAATGCCACTTTTCATACAGTTCTAGTCTTGATAATGTAACTTCAATGTAATGTATATATATATAATGTTACACCAAATACTAAGGTTTTAAAAAATCCTTACCCTAATTCTGATGTGTTTTGACATAAATAAAACTGATGAAAAATTACACCTCATCAAGTTAAACCAATTCTTACCATAACAATTGTTATCAAGCAGTTTGATGACATAAATAGCATCTCAATTGCTCTTGTGTTGTATCGCAGCTGGCATGGCCTAGTGGGCAAGACACTTGACTTGCAATTTGTGGGTTGCAGGATCAAACCCCATCATTGAATATGTTTACTTTTTTAGTCTCGGGAGCATTATAATGTGATGGTTAATTCTACTATTTGTTAACAAGGAGTAGCCCAATAATTAGTTGTGGGTGGTGTTGACTAACTACATTTCTTGTAGCCTGTCATTTCAAAATTAGGGACTGCTAACACAGATAGCCCTCAAATAGCTTTGCACAAAATTCAATAACAGCAAAATAAAAGAAACCATTGCCCAGCCAGCTTGTAGAGCCCTGGTATTTGGTGAGTCTTCATCAGCACCAGATATAGCAGATATAATATGGTTGACATATTGTATGCCCTTTTTTGCTTTCACTCAGAAATTCTTTTTTGATAATTTTTTAAAGGATTCCTTGCTGCCTCCCAGTCAGCGCTGTAAAGACCAAACAACTAAAGCTCCCACAGGTCCATTGAACAGAAAGAAACTGCTGGAATATTTAGAAAAACGTGCTAAAGAACAAGAAGACTGGCCAGAAAATAAACCTTATGAAGGTGGTATCAAGCGAGGTGAGTATCTAAATTTTTTGTCATAGAAATATATGTTATTGTAACTGTGAAATTGCAGTCCTTAAAGTCATTAAATCAAGTTACAAACTACCATTAAAACATTTACTTAATAGTAAAAGAATTTAATCAAAACTGGAAAAAATGTGTGCAAATTTAATTTAGAAATACTTCTTTCATATCTTGTATACTCACCATGCATTTTTTAGAATTACGTAAAAAATTATTTTCATTTGTAGCCATGATAAATTGTTAAAATTGTTATGTTAGTATAATGGGTATAAAAATTTATATTTTTTTAACCCTATAATGTAAACATAATGTTGTAATGAATTATAGGTCATGTGTGCATGATTAATGATTATTTCTTGTCTTGAAATTTATCTGATCGTAAACGTATCATCTAAAAATGTTGTGGTCATTTTTGATTAAAGAAATTATAATTTTTGCATTATTGTGTAAACCTACATTTAAGTTTGTTTGTTAGGATAGAAACTAATTTTGGTTGTTAAGTTTAATTAGATAATTTAGATTTGCTAGTTTTCCTTCATGATGTGATGTAAAGATAGTTCTTATTTTGAAAATTAATTTCAAAAAACATGAAGTATAAAAAAAAAGGTCGTCTGTATCCAAAAAAAAAAGGTTATTTGTATCATCATGTAAGCTAAGTATATTGTTATAAATGTGTAAACAAGTGTTATAATTATCTTTTGTGAATAACTTAATAAATTTATTCATTAATATTACAGGTAAAGTATGGACTCCAAAAGAGAAGTCCAGAACTCAAGAAGATGAAGATCTTGAAGTGGAACTTGATCTTGATGATGACTATGAGCAAGCTCTTATAGGAGCATCAGAAGCTGAACTGGTGGACTTGGCAGGTAAAAAAAATTAATAAATGTGTAAATCTCTTAAATTATGGTTACATAATCATTTATGGTGTGTGTCAGAAGAAGTGAACATCTTGGGTAAAGAAGTACAGTAATATAAAATAGGTATGCTTCCTATAATTTGAAATAACGAACTATTATTTTCAAATCAGGTAGTTTTACTTTTGAAATACTATATATGGGTACTCTTGGAAAACTGAATAAAGGTCCAACCTCTTTCAAGGATGGGAGTTAACAACATGAGGACAATACAATGAAAACATCAAAAGAGGGAAAGAAAAAAATAATCTTTATTAGATGTCCATCTCTTTGTCATATTTCAGTTTCTGTATACACTTTTAGATTTTTTTTCTAACCCTATTAGAAACTAGCTGTGTACCCGTCCTTCGTACGGGTTGTGTATATAAATAATACATTAATTTAACAATTAACAAACAAATTACTTGTACATTATTTACATTACATTTTACAAACTTATATTTAATTGTTATAATAATGTACAAAAACAAAAGATACTGTGGACCATGTGTTAACTGCGTCACTTAGAAAAAACGGAAAATGTCAAATTGTGATGGGTTGTACTTGTGTGTTTGTAGTGTAGCACACATCTGTGAAAAAATTAGTTTTATTTACCGAAAAGCCTCTTGATAGACGACATTGGAAGTACGTCCACCTGGGGCATGGATAAATAGGCTGCGAGAAGATCTGACTCTTGAGCAGGCTACATATAGTTTTTAAACTCCAAGGATAGTGTTCATAAAAAAGAAAAAAATATAAGAAAGAACGCAGTTCGCGAGTCAAGCGCAAAAGAGCAATGCTGAGTGGACGGGCGAGCGACCCTTAGCAAAGAAATACCTCTTTTAAAGAAATATAACCTTAAAAGCAATAAATAATGCCCAAACATAAACAAAATAAAGCTCAGACAGCTGGAGTGACGCAACAAATTTTT